GCGCGGAAATTTGAAACTCCAGCTTTGCAAAATACTACGTAGTACTTCGAAGTATAACGTTAGGTACTGTAGAATTTCAAATTTACGAATCAAATTTCCACTTCATCATCGAACGAAGTAGCTTTCAGGAATTTGGTCAAATTCCGAGTTTGGTAAAGGTCTTTCTAACCACGCTAGGATGGGCGAAGCAAGGGATTGCAACGAGCATACAAAAGTAGGTAACTTCCACTGACAGAATGGCTTTGCGTGCTTCTATATCGCGAATCCCGCGGGGCTATTGAGGTGCTGCACCATAATGGTTATTCATCAAATTAACGATGTTGACAAGAAACACTACACGAGCGAGTTTGGCCTTCCATAACCAAGTCGGTTGTATGTTCAACCAAGTGGGTTGCATGTTGGCCATGTCGCTTTCATGATGACACGCGCAAGCTTGACTTACTTCGGCAAGTACGGTTTAATGAAGTCATGAGAAGCACTGACGCGTTCGTACACACCTGGCTTGTTGAGCAGACCACAGCCATCGCCCCAGCTGGCCACCCCCACCAAGCGCACGCCAGCGCTTACTTCGGTGGTCAACGGTCCCCCCGAGTCGGTCCCACACGTGTCTTCTCCTTCCAGCCCTCCAGCAGCCAACATCGTATCGGTCACTGGCTTACCGAAGGACTTGAGCGCATCCGAGACCTTGTCGTTGCTCCAGGTGTTGAGGATGACCTCCTTGAGCACTATCGATTTGGGTCCACCAATCCTGATGAAACCCCAGCCGCGTGCCCAAGTGTCCACCCCCGGCGGAACGAAATCAAACAACAGCTTCACAGGTTCGATGTTCGTGATGTTGCGGTCCAAGATTGCGATGCCTACGTCAACGCGAGGATCGGGGTGATTGATTTCCTTGATGACAGTGGCCAGTTCCCCGTCGTGATAACCGGTTAAATAGTGTGTACCCACCACCACAGAAGGTAGATAACCTTTCAAACAATGAGCCGCTGTCAAAACGACATTGGGGGCGATCAGACTGCCGCCACACACGGTCTCACCATCGGGCGACTTCTTGAGCCCAGCCACATAACGGTGCTTGCCGAATTGGGCTTCCTGGCCCCCGAGGATTTCGAAACCATCGTCAGGGGCCTCATCGCCCCAAGCGACTTTGGCTGGGACAACTTGGCCTTGAGCCAAGGCAGCGACGGTCACGGGGAAAGCGAGAAGGAGTGCGAAGTTCATGATGGAAATTGGAAAATGAATGGTCTTTCATCTAGAGCCAAGTCAATCCAATCGTTAATGTCAGACTGTGATTGCACAAGCACACCAAGTACCAAGGTTAAACAAATGGATGGTTGGGATGCGTACGTCATACATACATGCACCCACGCTGCTCAAGTCCTCTTGTCATTAAGAGTACTGTAACGTTAAGTCACCTTTAGCGTCATAAATATCCAACAGCGTGGCCGACATTCATTCTTGCCAGAAACCTGCTACTGTATCGCATTTTCAAAGGACGAAGGATCCACATAAAGACAGTAAAGTAACACTTGCAGTACGGTGGTTGATACTGTACTCTGCGCACATACGATCGTACTATCCCCATACGCGTGCCTCCTTCGTGGTTGTTGGACTCTCGGTCGCTCCCACAACTGTTTTATGACGCCAAAGGATGCTTTGATGTGTGGGCGCAGTTCCATGACAACTTGGTTCCGTGCCACAATACGTGATTGGTAGAAAGCAATCACTCCGAAATTTTCAACCAATAACCTGCAATATCATTTGCGATTTGAGAGGTAACTGGATAAAATCAAGTGGCTCGAAACTGTTTTTAGTCTATGGATATTTTCACTCTTTTAGTTTATTTTCCGTCAACACCAATGACATGATTTAAGTCTACGAACTGGATTAATTTTCCTCTTTAAGAAACAATATTGTATTAGCAATTTGGAGTAAAGGAACCCCTCCATAGAAGAGTCCCAAAAAGTGTCACGGAACATGCCCATACGTATAATACAGACCACCATTAGCAAAAGTCTTAACTGTAAACAAATAATAATCCGGAGTCAATTCATTGACACAAGTTGTATATTCTGGAGTATACTGGACAGAAATTGTCGATTCTTGAGATAAGTTGCAGACTCTAAAAAGGCGCTCGAAATCATCTCATTGACATACGTACAGACAGTACTACAAGTTCAACACCTATGACAGCTGTAGAGTTCACGTTTTTGACGCCTACCACAAAAGTTCGGCCTTTAATTCCTCCGCTATTAGATACTGGAACCACATGTTGTGGAACCGCTTCGCCAATTAGGGAGCTTTCGCAAAGTATTCCAAGTCCGTTTCCGTAATAATTACCCTCAGTATTTAGTACAATCACGGAAACTCATGAAACTTTATAGCGGAATCCGTGAAAAGATCAGCTATCACGGAATCGGATAATCATACTCCTAAGTAAGAAATACTAGTTGAGGCTTGCCAGGAACTCGAAGTTGACGGCAGGAAAACATCGCCCAGTTCCACCTGCTACTCGACAACCACGAAAAGTTCCAGAATGATTCTGTGTATTTGTATGGTATCGACCGACGGTATGAGTGCGAGCAGAAGTATGCGACGACGGGCAGTCCTCGCGAAGCGAGAAGGCTTGACAACCATGACGAGTCCTTCCACAAACAGCATTACAGTATTGCAAAGTTGACCCCTTATGTTTATTCCGGACGCGGAAATCTATTTATACAGCGAAATCGTCTAAATTTAATCCGTGTCGTGGTGTGTCCGTGTCTTTTTTCTCACGGACGCGAACACGGATTAAATTGCGAAATCTCCCTATTATTGTAATGCGCCTGCTTGACCAGGAGCGGTGTCCAGGGGCAGTGTCGAGAATAAGAATATACAACTTCTGGCAAGAATATACAACTGCAACCATGACTTGTAGTCATGGTTGCTATACTTAAATTTTGTATGCTTTGGAATATCAGGATCAGTTTGATCGGTATGTCAACCTATTACACACACACACGTACTCCAGCTACACGGTGTCCGTACTATTAATAGCGTGAACCCTTGATTAAGTGGCTTCCTTATTAGTGTAAGCTATAATAGGGAGTGCTCCTCTATGGCGACCTTCAAATACATGGAACTATAGCTTATTTGGTGAAGTCTCCACTTGATAGCTGATATATATCCTCAGTGTCGACATCTATGACAGCTGTACAGTTTTTGACGCCTACCAGAAAAGTTCGGCCTTCTATTTTGCTAACAGTAAAGGTCTGTACTATACGTATGGGCATGGTTCCGTGACACTTTTTGGGACTCTTCTATGGAGGGGTTCCTTTACTCCAAATTGCTAATACAATATTGTTTCTTAAAGAGGAAAATTAATCCAGTTCGTAGACTTAAATCATGTCATTGGTGTTGACGGAAAATAAACTAAAAGAGTGAAAATATCCATAGACTAAAAACAGTTTCGAGCCACTTGATTTTATCCAGTTACCTCTCAAATCGCAAATGATATTGCAGGTTATTGGTTGAAAATTTCGGAGTGATTGCTTTCTACCAATCACGTATTGTGGCACGGAACCAAGTTGTCATGGAACTGCGCCCACACATCAAAGCATCCTTTGGCGTCATAAAACAGTTGTGGGAGCGACCGAGAGTCCAACAACCACGAAGGAGGCACGCGTATGGGGATAGTACGATCGTATGTGCGCAGAGTACAGTATCAACCACCGTACTGCAAGTGTTACTTTACTGTCTTTATGTGGATCCTTCGTCCTTTGAAAATGCGATACAGTAGCAGGTTTCTGGCAAGAATGAATGTCGGCCACGCTGTTGGATATTTATGACGCTAAAGGTGACTTAACGTTACAGTACTCTTAATGACAAGAGGACTTGAGCAGCGTGGGTGCATGTATGTATGACGTACGCATCCCAACCATCCATTTGTTTAACCTTGGTACTTGGTGTGCTTGTGCAATCACAGTCTGACATTAACGATTGGATTGACTTGGCTCTAGATGAAAGACCATTCATTTTCCAATTTCCATCATGAACTTCGCACTCCTTCTCGCTTTCCCCGTGACCGTCGCTGCCTTGGCTCAAGGCCAAGTTGTCCCAGCCAAAGTCGCTTGGGGCGATGAGGCCCCTGACGATGGTTTCGAAATCCTCGGGGGCCAGGAAGCCCAATTCGGCAAGCACCGTTATGTGGCTGGGCTCAAGAAGTCGCCCGATGGTGAGACCGTGTGTGGCGGCAGTCTGATCGCCCCCAATGTCGTTTTGACAGCGGCTCATTGTTTGAAAGGTTATCTACCTTCTGTGGTGGTGGGTACACACTATTTAACCGGTTATCACGACGGGGAACTGGCCACTGTCATCAAGGAAATCAATCACCCCGATCCTCGCGTTGACGTAGGCATCGCAATCTTGGACCGCAACATCACGAACATCGAACCTGTGAAGCTGTTGTTTGATTTCGTTCCGCCGGGGGTGGACACTTGGGCACGCGGCTGGGGTTTCATCAGGATTGGTGGACCCAAATCGATAGTGCTCAAGGAGGTCATCCTCAACACCTGGAGCAACGACAAGGTCTCGGATGCGCTCAAGTCCTTCGGTAAGCCAGTGACCGATACGATGTTGGCTGCTGGAGGGCTGGAAGGAGAAGACACGTGTGGGACCGACTCGGGGGGACCGTTGACCACCGAAGTAAGCGCTGGCGTGCGCTTGGTGGGGGTGGCCAGCTGGGGCGATGGCTGTGGTCTGCTCAACAAGCCAGGTGTGTACGAACGCGTCAGTGCTTCTCATGACTTCATTAAACCGTACTTGCCGAAGTAAGTCAAGCTTGCGCGTGTCATCATGAAAGCGACATGGCCAACATGCAACCCACTTGGTTGAACATACAACCGACTTGGTTATGGAAGGCCAAACTCGCTCGTGTAGTGTTTCTTGTCAACATCGTTAATTTGATGAATAACCATTATGGTGCAGCACCTCAATAGCCCCGCGGGATTCGCGATATAGAAGCACGCAAAGCCATTCTGTCAGTGGAAGTTACCTACTTTTGTATGCTCGTTGCAATCCCTTGCTTCGCCCATCCTAGCGTGGTTAGAAAGACCTTTACCAAACTCGGAATTTGACCAAATTCCTGAAAGCTACTTCGTTCGATGATGAAGTGGAAATTTGATTCGTAAATTTGAAATTCTACAGTACCTAACGTTATACTTCGAAGTACTACGTAGTATTTTGCAAAGCTGGAGTTTCAAATTTCCGCGCGACATGCATTACCTACTCGTACTAGAATTACTATCGTCGTTGATGTGCTAACTTACTTCACTTGAGTTTATCACACACCAAGCAATCTCCGTTGCGGCTCGACTGTCTCGAGGTGTTGCACGCGATTTTGCGTGAATGCATGGTATCAAGTTCAGACTAGTACAGTATATGCGTAGGCGTCAACGGAGAGGTCATCACAGCATGCTACGAATGTTGCGTGGCGATTGTAAACAACCAAGCGCATAACGGTAGAAAAACTGTAACGTTAGCAGAAGTACAGGTCGACTCAATCGATGAAGCTTCCAATTTCCCTTCCCATAGACAGCAGAACATGTCCTCGCCATTCGCATGTTGACGAGATTGAGCTTGTGAATGGCGCGGACATCCTAGGTCTATACATATCGTAGTCTAGAATCATCATCGAACAAACCATGCGTGGCATCTCGGCCGTGAGTATGCTGCTCGAGTTCGTCGGTTATTGCCTGTCGGTCCTGTTCCTTCGGCAAGAACACACCACCACCACCGGGTGCGCATTTTTTTCGAGCAAACGATGGAGCATTTCTGAGCACGCCTTAGAATGGATCGATTTCGAGCAAAATAGTCCAGAGAGACACTTTCCGAGCGCACTTAATAGGCACAATAACATGTGTTAGTCATTGGTGAATTTTCGAGCAAATAGAATCATATGGTTACTAAAATGCCAATGCTGAGTACAGAGGCGCCTCTAATGATACTAGTAGTTACTTCGAAGTACAACTCTAGTACTATTTTAATAGTATTAATATCATACTATTAAAATATATTATTCATGGGAATATACCCAATCATCGAATTTATCCCACTGCCGATCAATAATTGTTGACGTCATCATGGTCATCAGCCACCCAGCATGCTTTCACCAGAACCGCACCCTTTCCCCACCGGAGACTACGTCTCCACCCCGGATAACGTACGTGTACTGCTATGCCCAG